CCTTGTTGACAGCCAGAAGTCGTTTCCTGTGGCAGCCGGGCGCTCTGCCGCTGGGGGTGTTTATTGTAGGGTCTCCCCAGCTGGGAGGCAGAGGGGCCCGTGGGGCTGATGGCGGCCGGACAGACGGACAACGGGGGTTGTTATTTACAGGTGGCCTTTATTGACACACCAGACAACTTATCACAGCGGGGGGCTCGGAGTGAGGTCACGGGGGTGTCGGGGCCCGGGGGGGGACAGGTCAAGGGTCAGGGCAGCAGGATCCCCCCTCCCCCCAGGATCTGTCAGCCCCAGATGGGTCCATCCGTGCAGGGAAAAAATTGGGGGTTGAGTGGGGGGGGTCAGACAGCCCCCTGATGGGGGGGGTCACCCACTATCCCATCATGCCCCAGGAGGACGAGGAGCTGATGCATTTCCCAGAATCCTTTGCCAGTCCGGCCGAGTTGACGCGTCTCCCAGAATCCTTTGCAAGGCCTGAGCGCTTCTCCCAGAATCCTCTGCAGGGTCCATGGAGTCCCAGAATCCTTTGCCAGCTCCCGGCGGTTCTTTACTGCCCCCCTCTCTAGGGGTGGGGGGAGGGGACCACAAGACAGGGGGTGCTACCCCCCACCCACCCCCTGAGTGGGGAGGGGAGGGGGACGTGGGGAAGGGCTCGGTAATGGGGGGGTTTGTCGTCCCCCCCCAACACATACCACACTGGGTCACAGCGGCTCTAACAGACAGACACCAACATGCGGGAACGGGAGGGGGGGATGACCGGGGATGTGGAGCGCGGGGGGGGGGCAGGGAGCCCCCCCTTCCTGGCCAGGACTTACCCTGGGCAGCTGGGGGACTCCCCCAGCACCCCCACCCCCAGCTGTGGTGTCTGCCCCCCCGGGGGGCAGGCACGGCCATCCCCCCACCCTCCCCCACCCGGGAAAGATCTGCTTTCTCCCATCATTACAGACGGGGCCAATACTGGGGGAGCTCCGGGTCCCCGCCGGGGACCTGCACGGGGACCGACACGCCGGGGGAGAGGAGACCTGGCGGCAGAGAGAGACGTGGCGTTAGGCGGGCAGGAGAGAGCCCCAAAGGACCCACCTGTCACAGAGCCTGTGCCCAGGGGCAGCTGGTCCATACAGGCCGCGCCAGGCCGCGGAGCCTGTGCCCAGGGGCAGCTGGTCCATATGGGCCGTGCCAGGCCGCAGAGCCTGTGCCCAAGGGCAGCTGGTCCATACGGGCTGTGCCAGGTCGCGGAGCCTGTTCCCAGGGGCAGCTGGTCCATACGGGCCGCGCCAGACCACGGAGCCTGTGCCCAGGGGCAGCTGGTCCATACGGGCCGTGCCAGACCACGGAGCCTGTGCCCAGAGGCAGCTGGTCCATACGGGCCGTGCCAGACCACGGAGCCTGTGCCCAGAGGCAGCTGGTCCATACGGGCCGCGCCAGACCGCGGAGCCTGTGCCCAGGGGCAGCTGCTCCATACGGGCCCCGCCAGGCCGCGGAGCCTGTGCCCAGAGGCAGCTGGTCCATACGGGCCGTGCCAGACCATGGAGCCTGTGCCCAGGGGCAGCTGGTCCATACGGGCTGTGCCAGACCACGGAGCCTGTGCCCAGGGGCAGCTGGTCCATACGGGCCGTGCCAGGCCGCGGAGCCTGTGCCCAGGGGCAGCTGGTCCATACGGGCCGCGCCAGGCCTGGGGACGTATAAGAGACCAATGCCCAACATCACCCAGTAATCCCATAATGCCCTGGGGGTGGCCCCAGTGGGTGGGGGGTAAGACGAAGAATTGGCGTTGCTCCCAGAATGCTTTGCCCGCCCCCGGCCTTAGCCCTGCTCCCAGGATGCTTTGCCCCGGGGGTGCCCCCCCTCACCGGTGGAGGTGCTGGTGCCGGCGCCCAGGCTGGGGTTGCCCATGTGGGCCGGGAGCTGGGCCGGGCCGTAGGGGTCGTAGCTGCGGCCCGAGGAGCCGCCCGGGATCATGCAGGAGAAGGACGAGGTCCCCTGGCTGGCGACCGGCTGGACGGCCTGCGGGGGGGAAAGGGGGGCTGTGAGACTCCTGTGCTGAGCCCCCCGAAACCCCCAGCCTGAGCCCTCCCCCCACGCCAACCCCACGTACCCCTCCGGGCCGAGACGCCCCCCACCGACCCCACAGCGACCCCACATATCCCCTGCCGGGCCGACCCCCCCTCACCGACCCCATGTAACCCCCCCCGGGGCCGAGCCCCCCACACCGACCCCACGTAACCCCTCTCTGGGCTGACCCCCCGCCACACCAACCCCATGTACCCCTCCCAGGTCAAGCTCTCCCCCCACGCACCTCCCCCAGGCAGAGCGACCCCGTGTCAACCCCATGTATCCCCCAGGCCCCCTCCACGCCCCCCACGCCAGCAGGTCCCAGCCCCCCTCACCTGCATGGGGAGGCTGTTGGCCATAGAGAAGCTGGGCAGTGGGGGGAGGGCTCCGTAGCTGTTGGGGTGGGGGCCCTCACTGCGCCCCAGCATGGCACCTGGCAGGAGAGGACAGTCACCCACTGGCCGGGGGGGCAGGGGGTGGATATGGCGTCCCTTAGGGGGGCGTTTGGGGGGAAGAGGATGGCGGGGGGAGGATTGAGGCAGGGACGCAGCGGGACTGTTCTTCGTGTTTGCTCTGAACACTGCGTGCCTCAGTTTCCCCGGTGTGTTACTCAAGTATCTCGGTGGTGGGACAAGGCGGGTGAGCACTGCAGGTGGGATCCCCGAGACCGGCGGACAGGGGTGTGTGTGGGGGGGGTTGTGGCTGTTGGGAGGGGCGGTACTTGATCCGGCAAGTGGTGGCACCGACTGGGGTGTATGGGGGTGGGGCTGGAGGGGGTGAGGGAGCAGTGGGGGGTACCTGATCCAGCAGGGGGTATGGATGGGGACAGGGGGAATGGAGATCAGTGGGGGGGATACTGGGGGGAAGTGGGGACAGGGGACAGTGGGGAGGACTAGAGGGCAAAGGAGAGAGGACAGTGTGGGGGGGTACTGGTGGGTACCTGGTTGTCAGTGGGGATGGAGGGCAGTAGGGGTTCTGGGGGGCAGTGGGGAGATGCCGGAGAGCAGTGGGGATGGGGGGTACTGGGAACAGGGGGGATGGAAGCCAGTGGGGGGTACCCAGGGGCAGTGGGGGGATGCCGGAGAGCTGTGGGGTGAGGAGTACTGGCGGCAGGGG